CCAGAGGAAGGGGCAAAGGAGGTGAGGGGGTGAGGGGGTGGGGGCAGAAAGAGGAGACGAAAGCAGACGACAGAACATTGCGAGAGAGCAGGAAATGAGGCGAAAGGAGACAAATTTAGAGAAGAAAATTTTTCTGTCTCTACCCGGATTCGAACCCAGGACCTTTTGAATGAGAGGCCAACACCTTAACCTCTAGGCCACGAGAGCCCCCTTTGCAACTTTGTAAAAATCATCCATATTGTTCTTTTCCATCTAGTCACTATTTGTGCATTGAAGAACAAATTTAAACAAAACTGAAATTGTCAGGTAAACTTAAGGAGGTGATGGCTATTTAAATCTCTAGGTGTTGACCACTGCTCTCCGCACAAGCTCCAATACGGGGCGGGAAAGTTTGAAAAATCCTCATGGCAAGTTTCTGGGTTGATTCTTTAGATGTCCTGTCTTTCGGCCACACCCCTGACAGTAGGTAAGATCTAACATCTGGCCCTCTCGGATAAGGGAGATAAATCTCACAAGTCACGTGTGCAAATTGCGCACCTTAAAGATCCCTTGGAGGTCCAAAATCGATAAGAGTAGGCTTTGGCCGCCATTTCGCCAAAGTTCAAAATTACCTACCAACTGAAAATGTTAAAGGTAACTCGCGCGCTCACATGACCTTATGCGCCATAAAACACTAACAAAAAAAACAACAACCCAATGATCCAGCAGTGAGTGAAAGGGCATTTGAATATCAAGGCCCCAAGATCTGGAATGCTTTGCCAGGTGCTTTAAGACAGATCAAATCTTTTGATTCATTCAAATGTCAGCTGAAGTCATTTCTGTTTTAAATTTAATGTGAAGAATATTTGGAGTGATTTTCTCTTTGTCAAAACTACAACATCTTATGTTACTGTTGTACTTTGTATTGCATTGTAAGGCGCTCAGAGCCTTTGTACTTTAATCGGGGTTGAGCGCTATATAAATGCCATTTATTATTATTATTATTATTATTATTATTATTATTATCATCATCAGTAGTATTATTATTATCATCATTAGCATCATCATCATTATTATTATTATTATTATCATCATCATTATTATTATTACTACTATTATTATTATTACTATTATCATCATTATTATTATCATTATCATCATTATTACATGTTTGTTGTCCTGAGTGAGCGGCAGTGACTCGCCGCCCTCCTTCAGTTCCACCGTGTGACAGTGACCAAACACGTCGTGGTAGCCGATGCTGAACGACTGGGCGAAAACATCCTCAAAATCCTCCCCCTCGTAGTCCAGCATGTCCTGTAGACTGTGCATCAGTGTCTGGGGGGAAGATTTTTAGTTTTAGTAACAGTTTTACGCCACTTGTAACACAACAAGGTCACATAAGTACAAAGATTAGATCTTTAGTTTACTTTTAGTAAGAGTTTTACGGCACTTGCAACACAATAAGGTGCCGAAGATTAATAGAGGTGTTACAAGAGAGTAACAAATATAAAAAAGGAGGCGAGATCAGGACGATAGAAGATGTTAGATAGGAAAGGAGAAGCAAACACATCAGAGCATCCATCGACCACCTATGAGGGAGGACAGAAAAAGGGGTGGGGGGGGGGGTAGAGTGGGGTAGAGGTAGGTACAGATTAGTTACAAATCAACACTTGTACATTGGAGCTTTCTTTCTGCTACAAAAACTGTTGATATAAAAGACAAGGATGTTCTGACATCCAGAGCAACATTGCACAGTAGCTGCCCTCCGCACGGGCGGGGGGGATTACTCCACCATTTCGGTGAGAACTACCCAAAGATTTTTAACTGAAACTTGAAATTTTTAAACACATTATATCTTTGTACATTTGGGTCCCAACGCGGTGGAATCAGGCGCTCGTCAATTTTTTTTGAGCGTGTGGAGTTATTGGTATCATCCGAAAGCTTATTCACTTGTTTCGCTGTCGCAGAAAAAAGTACTCATAAATCATTAATAGAAGTCGAGATACTTGCGATTGAAGCAGGTGGGGTCGCCCTATATAGACGCTGAAGATCGAGAATATGCACCAATATAAATGCTGTAGATCAGATCATGGATATGCAGTATATACAGGGATGCCACTCAATTTTTTTCGAAAATAGCTGAAAATCCACGCCCCACGGTCTCGCTAACTTGAAAATCAATTTGAAACCCAAAGGGTGTACATCAAGAGAAATGACAAACAAACAAAAACAATGGGTGTACTTTAAAAAATGACAATTTGGTGCAAGTTGTGTGTGTGGGGTTTTTTTTTTTCCACTATAGATTCTATCTCCATCTCAATAACGGAATAGCGGATCAGGATCAAAATACAGGAAATAATGGAAAAAAGCGGAAAAGTGTCATCCCTGTATATAAATGCTACGGACTCTGGATGGGGTTAAAAAGGTCCTGGAACTAAACAAAACATATCTATAACAGATGCCACACACTTAGCACAGGACCGAAACCTGCACCCCCCCCCCCAAATGAACATCCTAAGGACACCAGAGGAAGGAAACGGTAAAACGTAAGCAAAACTGACAAGTAACCGTAAAGCAAGACTGCCGTAGCACTCACTGGGTCAAGGTCATACAGGTCGGCAAAGGTCCCCTTCTTGCCCATGAGCTTGCGGTAGACCACCATGGGGAAGTGGATGTCCAGGATGCAGCTGTTGTAGATGGCCAGCCCCAGCAGGATGCCGATCAGCGTGAACTGGGCGTCGTTCTCGAAGGACAGCGAGTTGAACCAGAAGTGGTGGGACTCCTCGTTGTACGCGAACATGCCTGGGTGGAGGAGAGAGAGAAAACCATCTCGTTACATGCCTGGGTGGAGGAGAGAGAGAAAACCATCTCGTTACATGCCTGGGTGGAGGAGAGAGAGAAAACCATCTCGTTACATGCCT